TAAGGATATGTTTTGAATTCATACATTATTTTTAATGAAGTCTCATAGTTCTGATTTTTTGTGTCTAGAGTTTTTTCTATTTGGATTCACTTTTCTGACATTTGTGCCCTTTCTGGAGATAGTAAGAATTCTGATGAGTCAGAGGAGGGATTTCTGTATGCACAATTAACTTTTAGCGAACAATACTGTTAAACACCTGCACCCTCTTTAGCTATTGAGGTACTACAACATCAGAAATTCCAGTGGGAATTGAAGGGATCTCTGAATTTTTCCTGATACTTCATGCATTCAACAGCGTATTATTTTAATAGGACACAAAATTTCATTAAGGCTCTGGTGGCAGACACATATCTGTGATTTGAGACTGAGAATCTTGTGATGAGGGGGCTAAACTGTAGACAGATTCTTCAGCACGTACCCTCTGCTGACCTACAAGAGATTGCAAAGCCCTTCTCGGGCTAGAAACGGAACTGGTACTACAGTGACCATAGCGCTCCCTCTTGTGGGAAAGAGGAGCCAGTCGGTTTTGTCTTAAAACCTCATGAGCTGTCAGTTCTGAATGGTTTCTTCAGCATGATCCCACATGAGAGAATCAGAGGTTTTGTTAGAAGACAAAAAAAAATGGTAGCACATAAGCAGAGTCTTTTTAAAGAGAAATACAACATGATTTCTGATTAATCTGTGGCTGAAACTAAGAAACCATATTGTTGTAGCACAAAGCAGCACTCTGTGGTAGAGTTTGACAAGGCCAGTAGGTCTCGAGAAGTCCCACCCAGTCTAAATCATTCTATGAATGCAGAAAAATGGAAACTCCCCTCCTCAGAATTCAGAGAACAGCAATTTCTCGCCATGAGAACAACCTTCTGGCCAAAAATACAAGAAACTGATCAACCATCTCCACTACCACATGCAGATTCTCCTACAAGTTCAACTTGTCAAACACTTCATTTTAACTTGCATGCTCAGAGGATGCGATACAGAGAGGAGTTTATAGCATTCACTCACTGGTATGTTATATTGTACTCCCTAGAATGACCTCTAACTATTGATGAAAACCTGACAAGACACAGAAGGGGGACAGATTTATTCATGCAGAATGGATTCTCGTCACACCACACCGAGACAAGCCTGAGCTGGGAACTAACAGGATTCAGAAAGATCTGAATCACATGACCTATAAGAATATAAATAATAATATCCTAAGTGTCAAATAATCACTCAAAAGGCAGGAACAACATCACTAAAAATTAAAAGGAAAGGCTTTTATAGTAAGGAATGAACTATGCCTGTCAGGTCACTGTTTCTTAAATGGCTTTTGATCCATCACCAGTTGTTTTGCTCAAAGAGATATGCATACTTATTTAAACAGGAAATCATTAACACATTAGTTTCTACTTATTAAGACAAGAAACAGCATAACATTAGTACTTCTTTTGGGAAATTGGTTATTACAATTCTTCTTTAACTTTGCTTCAGACTGCCTCTGAATTTCACTTCTCCAATTTCTCAGCTGCAAATTCCACAAGGAAGCTGGCACTGCATCTGTTGCCATGATCGCTGTGAGAACTTCAACTGGTATAAAAATCGTGTTTCAGTCTACCTATGTTTAGAGTTAATACAGTTGTTCCAACATTGTTTTCCACAATATCAAGGCTTCTTCAAAGCCAATTAAGTTGCTTATAGAATGGATTAACATGTATAGATAAAACATAGACCCCATAGAAACACTTAAGAACTAGCAACTTTACATTTATTTTTCTACCAAAGTTAGTTTCCTTTATGCTCTTAAGCAATTCATCATTTGCAACATGATCCAAGATTCACTTTAGACGATCAATTATTAATACTGAGTTCTTTGCAGGGGAAGTCTCAGTGGGGCTAAAAAACACCCCCCAAAACCAACCAACCAACAAAAAACAAACAAAAAAACCCCACCAACCAAAAAAACCTCCAGTCTCAAAGCATCAGTCATAGAATAGATGGAGTCAGACCATTGTCAGGTGATAGTTAATGACTGACAGAGTATTGTATTTGTATGTGAAGTTCTACAGAAGATAGAAACCAGTAATGACATCAAGCAATGTACTGAATCACTAGAAAAAACTGTCCCAGTTGATATTCAAAGCAACGTGATTGCATTGTTGAAGAGACTGCATCTCTGTGATTTTGTACAATAATTGAGCTCAGCAATGAAAGAAACACTTAGGAGATATATTTTTGGGGGCAAAAAGAAAACTGGAATCCTGATCTTTTCTTAGATTTGTTACTAAGTCATTTTGCAGCAGTAAAGACTAACGTGTCTGCACTGAAACCTAGCACCTAGCCTAGACAACATGATTTGCTGCAGTAGAGTGAACCATCTTTTCTACTCTCATTCAAACTCAGTAAACATGAAGACCATGGCTATGCTGCCCACTCAGTGCAGCACGTGGTACACATGGAGTGTATATTCATCATCCTTGTGAAACAGATTTGGGAGATGAACAAATACATAGAACATCATAAGGTCAAAATATTACACATTTGGATAAATAACTCCTTACATACCCATACATATTCATTTTTTCCACCAAATGCTACATTTGCATCTTTGCCAACGAATCGGCAGGATTGCCAAAGTGAAGGTTGCCCAATAAAAAAAGACACAGAGTTCCTAGGTCTCTATTCATCATATTCTATGAAGCTGCTCTAACTTACATTGTAAGAAAATAAAAGTAATAAAAAGGATGTTTAAGTCATCTTTTCTCCACTGTTTTCTATTTCTTATCAAACAACTTTTGTGGAAAAAATGGCAGAGAATCTAGAATATTTTCAGTTTGATGCATAGATTTATAAACAAATGTATTTTCTCAGCAGCTCAAATCTGAAAGGTCAGAACTGTTATAATCAGTTTTTCAGATAGCGTTTTTTCTGTAATGATTGAATGACTATCTTAAGAAACTGTAAGTTGTAACTGTCCATAGGTTTTCTTCTTTCTCTCTGTTTAAAATAGTTGCAGTATGAAATTTAGAGCATTATAGAAGATGTTCCTTTTTTTTTTTTATGCCAGCATAGCATGGATTTGAATCTTAGCAGTATGGAGTTATAAGCTGCTGATAGTTTTCTAGTGAAGCAGTCTTTCTGTTGCCCCACTTTGATTCCTTTGTTAATTCTTTCATTTCAGTGCTTATAGTAATTTTGAAGGACCATAAATTCGTATGGTGTAGTGCAAGCAAAAGATTTACAGCATCTCATTTATCTTTCGAGAAATATCACTAACTAGGTACTCGGAACTGAATATTAAAATTCAGTGAGATACACTCATCTTATTTCCCTCTAATTTTTCCAGTATTTCCCTTTCACTTCTTTTGTACTTTTGCAGTTTAAACCTAATTATCATAATCAATCATACTAATACAATTTCACAAATACTGACCAAATATCCGTTACAGTAATTTCTGGCAACATCATTTGTCATTCAAATTTCTGGCAATGTCATTTCTCAGCAGAATCTTTTGGCATCAGTCATTGCTGCCCAAAGAGCAGAAGAGCATTGTAAAGCTGCTTTACTTCAATAAAATTCAGTGGTACCCAGAGCTAATCTCTCCCCATTAAGCAATGGTTGTAATTTCTAAAGAACTAATTGCACAAGGTTATGTCAAAGGGTATTTGAAAAGGCAAAACTGGGGCAATGGTTTTTTGATCCAGCCAGCACACCAAGTCACAGCAACATGTCCAGAGAGCAGGTTCTACCATAAGCATTCAGTAATGACATCTTCATACGGCAAGTACCTTAGGGCTTAACAAGCATGTATCTGCTTTGGAGAACTCCATCTTTTCCCTACCTCTAAACCCACATACACTTGCAAGTCTTTTCACAAAATGGCAAAACTATTTCTCTACTATTACTGCTTCTATTAAGCAGTGGAGCAAATTGCTCCCAGCATCTAGTGATCAAATTATCTTGTCCAGTAAAAGCAGATAGAGTGACTAAGAGTTTAGCAGCAGTATCGAATCTAACCTTACCAGCTCAGAGTTCCTACCACAGACAGGGATGAACAAGTTCATGACTGAGACTGAGTATGGTTCCAGAATCATGTTACATTACTAGAAACAAAAAAACCCAGTTAGAATAAAATGAAAATGTCATTACTCTTAGCCACAAAGTATAACTGCAGTGTAGACAATATTCATGAAGATCAATCCAGAGAAGGATTCTGCATCCTCTTTGGAAGATGGAATACATGAAATCTAATTTTTCTATGCCATGTGACCATTCTTTCTTATTCAAGAGAGTGGAAAAGAATAGCATTCTTATCTGGTAACATTTTCAAAATATTAGACAGCTGGGATAAAACAACAAAGTTCCTACCTGGACTTCTATTAGGCTTGGAAATATTTAAATGCTGGGCTCCGATTCTCAAGTGGAAAATGAAAAATAATACAGATTTTTCTTGGATGGAGAAACCACAGTGAAAACTATGCAGTCTGCATTTGTGTACTTCCATGCCTGTTATTGAAAAATATTTATTTTGGAACAGTTTTAAAATATTTGGAATACATAAAAGCAAGTCAGAGTTATTTTATACTATGATCTTAAAAGGCAAAACCATACGGATAGCACCCTTTATTCTGAACTGCCATTTGTTTTCTGCTCCTATGAGAACACAACTTCACTATCTAAAACTTCTAGAGAATCATCAAAGAACAACACGCTAAAATTACATAACTTTTGTCTACATGTGTTTCTGGCAGACAGGTGAGCACATGGGACTTGCAGTTTCTTCTTGAATTAAGACAAAGATGTTATGTTTCCACTACACAGAGAAAGATTTATGTAACAATTGTACCATCCTGCACAAGTGACCCTGCAGCAGCAAGGGAACTTTCAGAAAGGAAGTTTGGATAAGTTTTTTCTCCCTCATTTCCAAAAATAAAACTTTCTGTTTCTGGTTTGAGAGCTTTCATTGTGGCAGGTGCTCTATGCAGAGAAGCATGGCGCTTGCAAAAACAGTTGACAGTTAGCAGCAACTCAGGCTGACTTGAGTGTTGCCTTCTGGGATTTCCATCATGTTCTTTTCCAGTTCTGTAGAAAGAAAAAAGTTATGAAGTCAATTCACAAGAAATCATACCATCCAATACTAAGGGTAACAAAAAGCTGAATGCAGCCCCAGTCAATCCTACATGCTAGAACTCAGGTAGACACTGACATGAATATGCTTGCAAGTGTTTGAAACAGGTTTTAATGCTTGAAAAACCTCCCCAATCCAGACTGTAAACAATGAAAATACACACAAAAAGCAAAACTTAACATACTGATGAGGTTTCCTGCCCCAATTTGGGCCATGTGCCCAGCAGTTTTCTCCAGCTCCTTTATCATGGACTGTTCAAAGGCCAAGGCAGCAACTCGGGAAAAGAACTCTTCGACATTTTCCCCTAGGAAACAGGACAGAAATTATGTGTTTTTACAACTGCACATCAACACATGATCAAGCGTAACAAGCACATCTGTGAACAGATCACTGCTCAATACTGGGACAGAACAGGCCTCTCCAACAATCTGTCCTCCATTCTGATCACTGCAGAGCGAATTTCTCATTTTCTTACTCTGGAATAATGTACCCTGTACTGTACTTTTATTTTTAGTCAGCAACAGAGAGAATTCAGTTTGTGATATAATCTTTTTTCGTTGCTAATGTTGAGTAGCAGTGCACACGTGTATTTATGTAACTACCTACGAATTAAACATGCTTAGACATTGCACAGCAGCTCAAGTACTCCTTTCTGTAAACATGACAGTGCAAGCACACATAAAAATGCTCAAATAAAATCAACCATTAATAAACCCGAAGTTTCCAATAGCAACAAAATGCAAGAATATGGGAATGGAGGAATAAGGAACTTTACCTTCCTCCCACCTTAACATAAGCCTTTGTGGTTAAGCTATTTTTACATCCTTTACTTACCTGTTTTGGCTGAAACTGACCAGTATTCTGCCTGCATCTCATTGGCAAAGCGGATGGCATCTAGCTCTGTCCTTTCACACACAGCATCTGACTGAGTAAATAACATGGAATAACTTTAACATAAGAAGTGTACCTGGGCTGATAATAACATAGAGGTACTGCTATCACCTATACTATGATGCTTGCGGTTTTCACAGAGGCCTTTCTGGCCTTGTCTTAGCACTTGTGCAATGAGACATGATTGCAAGAATATTCAAGTACTTAGTACTGCTTTTAAAAAGGAAGTCTCCATTTACTTCCCACAGCATTGAAACAAAACAACAGTTAACAAGTGTGACCATTTGACCATTGTATCTAACTATATAGTGTGGTAGGCAGCTATAAAGACAACAGCCCAGTTACTGGTCTTTAAATTCTTGTCACCCCATCATTCTCAGCACAAGAGTTGCAGGACCAACTAATCACAATGGTTCTTTGGGTTTAACATCTCTTGTCTCTGTCTCAGGTCCTTTTTTCTACTCCATCTATTTTTACTATGTTGTAACAAAATGGCCTTCCCCCCTTTTTATTTTTGCTCTTTTTTATCTTTTCTTAGAACTAAAATTTCTTGCCCCTTCAATGGGTTTTGCTCTCTTGCACTTAATTTTCAGGTCTTTTTCCCCTCTCATTTGTTCTCTGTGATCAACCGTATCAGTATGTTGCTGTTTGCTTTCAATTTCCAGCCCATTTGTGATGGACGATACCAGTCGTCTTTGTACCGTTTTCTGTGCATTGTCTTACAATGGGGAACCCCTGCACAATTGAGGAGAATTCTAAAAATTTGGAAAGGATCATGTGACATCAAGATAAGAAGTAGAGTGAATCCAGTTGGGAAGACACTGGCTTCATACTGAAGTAATAGCTAGAACCCACAATCCTTTGCTTTACTCTTGTCTCCCTTTCAGCTGAACGTGCTATCATTCTAAAAACAAAACCTAACTTACAGTAAGGAATTCTAGCTTAGACAAGACTTCAGATCTGCGTTCTCAGAGGTCTGGCACATTTAGCTTTTACTGCGACTCAGAAAAAGCAGCATAAACAACACGAAGTACAAGAAAAACTGACAGTCATGCAGTTTTCTGGGACTTATTTTCAGTGAAGGGTAAGAAACAAACTGCGTAAGTGATACTGTGGCAGCTGGGGGGGGTGGGAAATAAAAAAATTAACTAAACAGCAGAAGCAGCAAGTTTGTTTTGAAATCTTTAAGAATTAAGTATTGATAGCTAGAGAAAGACAAACACAAGACTCAGAATGGTAGAGGGTGAATACATTATATCCTGTTCTTCTGAAAATGATGTGACATTCAATTAAGTAAGAATTCTTCCCTGATCCTGAATAATGAACACACTGTCCGTAAAAAAAACCCCAACAAAACCTTCAAGATCATTAGGTACTCCGTCTTTTGTGCACACAACTTTTCTCTGCCTTTTCAATTGTTTGTACATGCTTGAAAAATGTCATGCAAGGAATGGAAATAGGGATATTTCATGAGCTACCCATTTGTTCAGAAAGCATCTTCTTAAATTGGTTCCAAGTGTGCTGTTCTATTTACTTGTAATCTTCTTTCTCTCTGTTTAGGTTTTTCCCTCAAGGTCTTTATCTCAACAACACTGTGTACAACTTGTAAGGGAAATCACTTGAGGAACTAGGGGAAATCTGATTTCCTTATCTGCATTCAATTTACTTACCACCAAATCTTTTTTTGTTCCAACTAGAAAGATGAAGCTGGAATCTGGCTCATTCTCCCTCAATGCATCTTCTAGCCACTGTCTGAAATACAAAAGAGAAATGAGAGAATCAGTCAGAGGAACTGAGGAATATAGGAGAAATTGACAGATAATAGGGTCACAAGAAAAGTGAGACGATGAACTTATGTGAGAGTATCAAAAGCCTTTTTTTCTAGGCAAAAAGAGACCAGGAGCTATTCCAACTCCTTTGAATACATGCCTTCCACTAAGGAAAAGTTCAAACATGCCCACTTAGAGCACAAATTCAGCAATGATTTTAGCACTCAGAGTATTTATTAGTATAAGGGAGGGGCAAAGTTTGGATGGACATAAGGAATAAGAAAACAAGAAGCGGAGGAAAAGATATGAACAACATAGCAGATTAGATACAAACGGGAATAAAGAAGAGTGAAATAATCTATTCAGCATTATAAAACAGCTCCCTATGAAGGCTGCATGATTCTTGTCTCATAAGCTTTTATATTTTTGTTACTCTGGCAATCAAGTTCCTCTTGAGTCAACCAACACAAGTCAAGGAAGGAAGGGAGTGTGTGCATGTGTGGGAAATCAGGTTCACAGGCTTCAATTATTTTCAGCCAAGCAGAGACACTAATATATATATTATTTTACAAAGTCCTATGTAAATGAGCTAAGTACCACAGCAGTAGTCTAAGGAAATAGTTTAATACACATTCAAATAAAACAGAGTACAGGTTGTAAAGAAACATGTACCTGAATTACAGTCACAACTGTATGTTAGAAATATATATGCTCTGAGCTGGCGACAACAATGTGGATCATAGACCTATGTAGGGTTCTGCAGCCTGCACTAAAAGCAGAACAAGTTTACTCATAACAGTTAGTGTGCTGTTGTAACCAAATCATTACAAGTATCTGAATCAGTGAATTTCGCTATATCTACATGTACTTTGAGTTTTTAATTTTCTCTCCTCTTTTTGACAGCCTATCTCCCAACAGAATCACTACAGAAACTAGAGAAAGAAAATGATTTTGGGCTAGCAGTGCACCTAGAAAATGAGAGGCTTTTGAGACATTATGCATGAGATGCACCTCATCAATTTCACCATTTACATCAGATGCCAGCCTGTTATTCTGTTTATAGCAAATGGAGAAAAAAAAAAGGATGCTTTTGGGGTGCACTTCATCTCTTCCTGCATGTCTATTTTTGGAAGGATCAAGCTTTTACTGAAGTACCTTTTTCTCTCCACTGACTATAAAGGAAGTCAAGGGTAAGTAGTTCAAATATATGCTCTGCATTTTCTTCAGAAAAATCCCACCCTACGTAATCCAAACAAGTGACTGTCATTCTTCATTTCCTAGCTCAATAGAAAACACACTCACGATCCAACAAGTTCTCAGCAACTACAGGCTACCCAAGGCAATTAAACCTGCTGTAAAAGCTTTAAAGGCTAAGCCAAAATACAGAAACTTACTTGGTGTGATCCAAAGTCTGGATATCAGCCAGATCAAACACTGTTATTATAACTGCAATAAAAGACAAGAACAGAAAAAAAGTAATTAAGTTAGTGTATCAGAAGTCTCTCCAACTCATCTTGTTAAACAGAGAGAATGTTTACATATAAAGCGCAAGAGCAGATTTAACACAGAGGAGATGGAAGACTATCCATTTGCTCACTCCTCTTCTTTCTCCAGCACCCAGTAAGACCGAAGTCCTCAGTCTTCAACCTTATTTACTCTTCACCTGTAGTCTGCAGTCTATAGTGCTATTACTCCTTTTATTTTGGGACCACTTTAATTCCTGCAGAAATTGTCTCTTACCAAAGGGAATGCCAGGAGTATCCACTTCTAACTTCAGCAATAATCTTACCCAAACCCAATTCTTTTCCCCCTAGACACAAGTGCCAATTTTTATCACTGCATCATCAGAACATTCAGAGCTTGCAGGTGTGACAACATATCAAATCATGAGCTTTTTAGTTCCTTCTTCTCTCCAATAACGGACAATCCCTTCCACCACACTGTGTCCACAAGGTACCTTTCCAGGGAGCACATATACATATATGTTTCCATATAAAGCACAACCTCCTGTCACAGCCAGGATCAAATTAATATTGTTCTCACCCTCTGCTCCTCGGTAGTAAGCAGATGCAATGCACTTGAACTTTTCCTGACCTGCTGTGTCCCATCTGTGCAATGGGGGAAAAAAAGAAATTTCAGATTAATGAAACCGAGTGTAACCTGAGTAAACATGCTCATGAAGCAGCAGACTGGTACAAGTTGGAGAAGAATGTGACACGAGAGAAGTGTTACCCTCTGGAACATGTTATTCATTAACTACTGATAGAAATACAGTAAAGCTCTATTATTTAATGAAGACATTTGAACTCTGTTTTGTTTTGGTTTATTTGGGTTTTTTTTAAATACTGATTATTTTGGAGACACAAGTCAAATATTCATATTCTGCATTTTTCTTAAACATTTTTTCCTCATCTATGTCATTTGCATGTATTTCTAGGGCAATCTGATTTTGAAAATTTTCTGTGCTAAATGTATTAGCCCATATCAGAATCTTGCAACTACTAGACATATCTGTCCATACAGTACCAATTAAAGACCTACAGCTCAGTCCACCAGGTACTAATGACACCATGAAAGAAAATCAAGAAAGTGCTTCTTATTAATGAACATGATATGCAGTCCTCTCAGCTACTGCCAGCACTACAGAGATTTGGGTTTTTGTTATAGCCTAGTACTGCCAGTCACAGATATTTGCAAATTTATCTTGTATGGAAATCTCTCAGCAAGAGGGGGCACTAGTGCTTATCATATGGAAATGTTCTACCCAGCCACTGAAGATTCTGCAGATAAAGCAACCTGATGTTTAGTAGCTCATTAACCTTATTGCTTCAGCTGGCAAAATACTGATGCATCAGTCTACATTTTTAGAGGGACTCAAGTTCCAAAAGGATAGTGCCTGGCAGAATTTTCAAAAACACAATGAAACTGAAATAAGTGGGAAATGGATTTCTAAGTATTTTTCAATAAATCCCATTAGTCATCTATTTACATCAATGATATCTCAGAAAAAATGTGTTCCTAAGTGAAAAGGTTTTTAAGATTCATGCACTAAAATACTTCACACAAAGCATCTTATTTCTGCTCTAGGTCATACTACAGCATAGATGATTCAATAATGCCCTCTACAGAACAACATTACTAGCCGCTGGAAATACCAAAGGACATGCTTCAGCAGAAGCAAAGCACGTGAGAGAAGGCCAGCATTCCCAATAGTCTGGATAAACAAAGCTGAAAATCAAAGATTTTAGGTTCACATTCTAGTAAAAACACTCAAGTCTTTCTACGATTTAGGGAAAATCAGCTAGTCCCTAACTAAGAGGTGCTGAAATCACTGGACACCTTACCATTAATTTCAATGGCTGCAGGAATAAAACTCCCAGTAAAGCCAAGTTCAGTGCTTATTGTGCCTACTATCCTGGTTTTGGCTGGGATAGAGTTAAATTTCTTCCTAGTGCTGTGTTTTGGATTTAGTATGAGAAGAATGTTGATAGCACACTGATGTTTTCCGTTGTTGCTAAGTAGTCTGCTAATCAAGGACTTTCCAGCTTTCCATGCTCTGCCAGGTGCACAAGAAGCTGAGAGGGAGCATAGCCAGGACAGCTAACCCAACTGACCAATGGGGTATTCCATACCATATGACGTCATGCTCAGCATATAAATAAGAGGCATGGTCCAGGAAGTAGCACTGTTTGAGCATCTGTCAGCGGGTGGTGAGCAATTGC